GTGTTCAAGATTCTGTCTCTTCTGCCTAATGGAAGAGGTTGTAGAAGAGCATTATCGAGATGGGGTGGGTCTTCGATGATGTTGGCAGCCTTTACGCGGCAACAAGAGATGTAAATGGAGTCCATGGATGGAAGTTTGGCTTGGTCTGTGTTGTGTGCACATCCTTCTGTAGTTTCTTACGGTCCTGGGCAGAGCAATTGCTGTAACAGGCCCATATTCGCCTGGATAGCATGCTTTCCATGGTGTATCTTTAAAAGTTGGCGGGGGTTCTTATGGACACGATGAGAGTGAAATTCAATCACTTTACAACTTTACCAAGTTATTAAATGAAACTTGTTCAGATTCCACAAATAACTAGGGGACATAACAACAACTTCATTCTGTATTTTGTAATCTATCTTTGTCACTCTTCCCTTGATCTTTGGATGTAAGAACTTGTTCAAGTTTTCTACATTTACAGTTAAATTTTAATTGTTTATCTCTCCCCAGTCATGGCCTCTCTTTTTACACCTTCCTCTGCCCTTCTCCTGTGCCAATGGTTTTTTGAAGGTTGTGTTTGCACCATTTATTACTTCATCTTACCTTATAATGCACTGGGCCTCTTTACTGCCCACAAACATCTGGTCAAGGAATGTAACTAACCTTTTCACACTAATCTGTTGTTTGGGACTGTGGGTTAAACTTGACCATTCAAAACTGCCCCCTATTAAAAAGCATATATGTTTAGAACTGCAAGTTTACATAAACCTGATTAACTTTCTTAATGTTTCTTACGACAGAGAATTTCATTTTATCCGGTATATCTATACAGAGACCACAAATCAAGCTGTGAACATGTGCTGTATGTTATTGTCAAACCCTTTGGGCCATCTTGTGCAGGCTAAAAAAAGCTCCAAACGGCTATTTTGTCAACTTTAGGTCATGGTGTACTTTGGTAGGCAGAATAGAGGCATAGACTATTTTCTAAATGGGGAAAGGCTTCAGAAATCTGAAAAACAACGGGACTTGGGAGTCCGAGTTCAGGATTCTTTTAAGGTTAACATGCAGGCTCAGTTGACGGTTTGGGAGGCGAGAGGTATTAATTTCAAGAAGGCTAGAATACAAGAATAAAGGTATCCTGCTGAGGCTGTGTAGGTCCTGTCAGACTGCATTTATAATGTGCAGGGCTGGATGAACACAGCAGGCCAAGCAGCATCATAGGAGCAGAAAGGCTGACGTTTCGGGCCTAGACCCTTCATCAGAAAAGGGGGAGGGGAAGCGGGTTCTGAAATAAATAGGGAGAGAGTGGGAGGCAGATAGAAGATGGATAGAGGAGAGGATAGATGGAGAGGAAACAAACAGGTCGAAGAGGCGGGGATGGAGCCAGTAAAGGTGAGTGTAGGTGGGGAGTTAGGGAGGGGATAGGTCAGTCCAGGGAGGACGGACAGGTCAAGGGGGCGGGATGAGGTTAGTCGGTAGGAGATGGAGGTGCGGCTTGAGGTGGGAGGAGGGGATAGGTGGGAGGAAGAACAGGTTAGGGAGGTGGAGACGCGTTGGACTGGTTTTGGGATGCGGTAGGGGCAGGGGAGATTTTGAAGCTTGTGGAACAATCCCTCTTCCGTACCTACACCGGCCCTAAACCCCACCTCTTCCTCCGTTACATTGATGACTGTATCGGCGCCGTCTCGTGCTCCCACGAGGAGCTCGAACAGTTCATCCACTTCACTAACACCTTCCACCCCAACCTTAAGTTTACCTGGACCATCTCTAACACCTCTCTCCCCTTCCTGGATCCCTCTGTCTCCATATCGGGCAACCACCTAGAAACCGATATTCATCTCAAGCCCACCGACTCCCACAGTTGCCTAGAATACTCCTCCTCCCACCAACCTTCCTGCAAAAATGCTATCCCCTATTCCCAATTCCTTCACCTCGGCCGCATCTGCTCCCAGGATGAGGCATTCCACTCCCGTACATCTCAGTTGTCCTCGTTTTTCAAGGACCGTAACATCCCCCCCCTCAGTGGTCGAGAACGCCTTCAACCGTGTCTCCCACATCTCCCACAACTCATCCCTCACACCCCGTCCACGCAATAAGAACCAAAAAAGAATCCCCCTCGTCCTCACATACCACCCCACCAACCTCCGGATCCAACGCATCATCCTCCAACACTTCCGCCATCTGCAATCCGACCCCACCACCAAAGACATCTTTCCCTCCCCACCCTTATCTGCTTTCCGGAGGGACCACTCTCTCCGTGACTCCCTTGTCCGCTCCACACTCCCCTCCAGCTCCACCACACCCGGCACTTTTCCCTGCAACCGCAGGAAGTGCTACACCTGTCCCCATACCTCCTCCCTCACCCCCATCCCAGGCCCCAAGAAGACTTTCCACATCAAGCAGATGTTCACCTGCACATCTGCCAATGTGGTATACTGCATCCGCTGTACCCGGTGTGGCTTCCTTTACATCGGGGAAACCAAGCGGAGGCTCGGGGACCGCTTTGCAGAACACCTACGCTCGGTTCACAATAAACAACTGCACCTCCCAGTCGCAAACCATTTCAACTCCCCCTCCCATTCCTCAGACGACATGTCCATCCTGGACCTCCTGCAGTGCCACAACGATGCCACCCGAAGGTTGCAGGAACAGCACCTCATATTCCGCTTGGGAACCCTGCAGCCCAATGGTATCAATGTGGATTTCACAAGCTTCAAAATCTCCCCTCCCCCTACCGCATCCCAAAACCAGTCCAGCTCATCTCCGCCTCCCTAACCTGTTCTTCCTCCCACCTATCCCCTCCTCCCACCTCAAGCCGCACCTCCATCTCCTACCGACTAACCTCATCCCGCCCCCTTGACCTGTCCGTCCTCCCTGGACTGACCTATTCCCTCCCTCACTCCCCACCTACACTCACCTTTACTGGCCCCATCCCCACCTCTTCGACCTGTTTGTTTCCTCTCCACCATCCATCTTCTATCCGCCTCCCACTCTCTCCCTATTTATTTCAGAACCCCCTTTCCCTCCCCCTTTTCTGATGAAGGGTCTAGGCCCGAAACGTCAGCCTTTCTGCTTCTATGATGCTGCTTGGCCTGCTGTGTTCATCCAGCCCTGCACCTTGTTGTCTCGGATTCTCCAGCATCTGCAGTTCCTACTATCTCTGCATTTATAATATGACGAGTTTTTACTTCCCTTTATATAAGGAAGGGTGCGCTGTCGTTGGAGGGAGTCCAGAGGAGGTTTGTAACAATGATCCCGGGGATGAAGGGCTTGTCCTATGAGAAGCCGGATTCGGGGTCTGTACTCAATGGAGTTTAGAAGGATGAGGGGAATGTGATTGAAAGTTACAGAATACTGAGAGGCCTGGAGAAAATGTTTCCACTTGCAGGAGAAGCTTGGGCCTCAGAGGGAAGGCACGGTTGTTTAGAATTGACATAAGGAGGAATTTCTTCCGCCAGAGGATGATTAATTCATGGAACTCATTCTGCAGAGGGCTGTGGAGGCCAAGTTATTGAGTGTATTTAAAATAGAAATAGATAAGTTCTTGATTAGTAAGGGAATCACGGGTTACGGGGAGACGGCACGGGAATGTGGTTGACAAATGTAAAAGCCGTGAGCGAAAAACGGAGAAAACTCGATGGCCCGGATGGCCTAATTCTTTATTTGTAATAGTCATATGATTTTACGCCGGTCACCATTGCTCATTTGCCCCTATACCCCTGATACACAGTATGACCTCTTCTCTAAACAGACCAGTGGCATGACCCTTCCGCCTCACGAATGCAACACAATGACTGGGAAACCCGGAGTCATGTTTCTACAGCTGAATCATGCTTCCTGGACACTTGTTCGCCTGCGCCGCGATTCCCATATAGAGTCATAGAGATATACAGCACGGAAAAAGACTCTTCGGTCCAAATCCTCCATGCGGACCAGACATCCTAAATAAATCTAGGCCCATTTGCCGTAAGTTGGGTTCTATGTGGTCCCACATTGTACTCTATTTACCATTTTTATGTGCGTATATCCTTTTGAAGACTCCCCATGTCTTCTTTACAATTTGATTTCCTGACTGGTTTTAAGCCATCAGGAGAGTTAGCAAACTGCATTGGGTTCCTTCACTTAAGCCATTAATATAGGTTTATAGGTTTGAAGCCTATTGTTCCCTATGGCTCTTGTCACAGCTTGGTGAAATGAAGATTGCACATGGATGGGTAGTCAGACAGATATAAAGCAGCAAACAGGAAAGCAGACAGATATCCCACAGTTGTTCTCTGTAGACTTTTCTTTAGTTTTTGTTGAGCTGCTCCTTCTCTCTGAGTCACTGTGAAACGCCAGGCGCAGTAATACACGGCTGAGTGATTCGCCCGCAGGCCAGAGGACTCCAAGTAAAAGTGGGTGCTATCGGGTCTTCTGGCTCTGAAGCCTCCAACCTCACCGGAGGGAGTGACCATTTCGCGGTAGTTTGAATAGAAAAGGCTCTGTGGCTCATGGTCAGGATGTCATCGATACCAGTAAAAGTAGGTGTTATCATCAGCTTCTGTGTAAAGACACTCTATGCTAACTAGAGTGCCTGGGGTTTGTGATATGGCAGTTGTCTGTTGTATTCGAACGGCCGCTACATCTGTACAGCAGAGATGGGATAATGGGGAAAGAGAGAGAGAGATAAACTCGGGGTTAATTTGCATCTCTATTCTCAGCATGAAGGGGAAAATGAGTGGAGAGAGAGAGAGAGAGAAAGAGATAAAATGACAGACAGGAATCGAGGCTGATAATGACAAACATACTCAGACAAAGAAATATACAAAGCCAGAGAGAACGACACACAGAAAACAAAGAAACATGCAGGCAGCGAGATACAGAGATGGGGAGCGAAAGGAGAGTGACAGTGTCATGAAAACAGAAAAGTAATTAATAGACACTGAAAAAATGCTGATGAAGTTAGTAGAGAGCTAAATAGTAGAGAGCGGGACATTGAGCTGAACAGTGAGGCTTGCAGTCAACCTCAAACTTACACGTTAACATCAACTGCACAACCCAGAGGTGAGAAAGAGACAGAGACATCTGCAGATGCTGACACATTCGCGTGTTTGTGTGAAATTACTGAGACTATAGCTAGGTGCAGACAATGTCGAAGTTCGGGGCTCTGAGTGCGATTTGCTGTCTCCAATATACTGCTCGGAAAGAAGGGGTCGTCTCTTAACAGGTGATTGGCTCTGAACTTTAGTGCTTTCATCTCCGGGGCGGGGGTAAGAACACCCCACCCTCAACAATCTATCCCTAGCCCGCCGCCAACCACAGGCCAATTCAGCAATGCAGCGTCTGGTTCAGTTCTTCACTGCATTGGATTTTTGTGGTACTGATTTTGTTCCTTGTGTCACTGTGGTATCGCCAGGCACAATAACACACGCCAGTGTGGTTCCCTTGCAGACTGGTCGTTTGCAGGTAGAAAGTAGAGTCGTCGGATCTGGAAGCTGTGAAACCATCCACTTTCTCGTTAGGATCGATTTTCTTAGTGTTGGGCGAGTAGAAGAGCAACAAGAGCCCCCCATTTGGTAGCTGGCGGTACCAGGAGAATTCTGAGCTGAAGGATCCTTCCGCAGAACAATGGATTTCGAGGGCAGCGCGAGAGGATGCAGATACTGCAGATGGACTTTGCTCAACTCTGCTGCCAGCTACACCTGCAGAGAAGTGGAAAAGAATACGTTTAAAACTCGGGAACCGCCCAGATTTGGAGCAAACCAAGACATTATCCCAGAGGGATACTCACCGAGCAGTAGAAGGACACACATCAGACATCGCGTTAAATGCATTTTCGCTAGCAGTTTGCACAAGAGTAACCGAATCGAACTTGGTTTAAAAGATCGACTTCACTTCTGGAGGTGGAGGTGGAAGTGGAGGGGGGGTGGAGCTGAGGCTGTTTATAAAAGGTCCTTCTGTTTGATTGACAGCTGCTTCACTTCAAGGCCATCCCACTGATATTCTTTTTTAACTCCGATTTTACTTGCCACCAAAAGTTAGAATTTGTACTCTTTCAGGTATTTTCTAATCATTCTGTTAAGTGATAGATTTTGGATACCTCTGGAGTGGGTGGGACATGAATCTGGCCTCGCTGGATCGGAGGTAGCGACACTATCATTGTACCTCAAAACACCCGCCACCCTACTCATAGCCGTCTGCGATAAAACTGAGACCGAATTCTGGTCCGTCCCACCTTGCACCATCCTCCTCTGCACGTTCCTTGAGGTCATGGCACCAGTTCTGGTGCCGGAATTCGACGTAGTCCTCCTGCGAGGGCTGAACAAATGGGTTCACCTGTTTAATGGATGAAAGTTGAAAAGTCTGATCTTTATTTTGATTCTTATGCCCTGTAGGAAAGGATGCAGCCAGCTGGAGAAAAATTGCAAACAAGTATGGCCGCAAAGTGTTGCTGACTTTACAAATAGACCAGGTTCAGGCGTAAATCGAAATCAGATATTGAAGCGCAGATTAATCATTAGGAAGTACCAGCAATCAGTGGAGATATAGCGTCATATAGTGCCGACAATGTGCAATAAGTCTCACCTGAAAATACCCCAATATTAAAGATTAGGAAGGACTTTTTAAGCTTTAGTTTGAAATAAATAAGCCTTCCGGTGGTCTCCACTCTTTCACATACATTTGCAACGCAGAAGTAAATAATTACGCAGTGCAAAATCAGGCGTTTGGCTAAACAGGTCTGTGCCGTCAATCACGCTCCAAGCGAGAAGTGAATAAACCTTCACCCTAATGCAACTCCTTTCGTACGCTGAAAAATGTCTCAAATTAGTTTCAGTTATCTTCGTTTCAGAGTAAATGCCACGACGTGTTTAATCAAAAGTGGTAGATATTGGGCATGAACTGTGGCTAACGTTGGCTTAAAGCAAGGACGGGGAAGCCTCTTTGCTGGAAGCGCAATTCCAGCCAAAATCTATCAAAGTCTACCAAATCAAAGACTATGTGCAGTCGGTATGGAAATCAAACTCTGCCATAAATATATTCAACGCCTGAGCATTCGCAGCCCTCTGCCGTAGACAATTCCGAAGGGTTAAGATATTCTGTGTAATATAATTCCAAGTTGTTCAATGCGGTGCCATTTAATAGGTTCATGCGCATGGTGTTTGTTGCGATATATTAATGTGGTCAGAGTTTTGGCTACCAGGAGAAAGCGATCAATTGCAGCAAACCGTAATTTATGGAGTGCCGGAGAACATTGCAGGGGCTCTGTTATTGACTTGAATGAAAGGGCCAGTGAATTACGGCCAAATTTGGAGACGAAATAAAGATAGGTGGAAAAGCTAGTGATGATGAAGGCGTCTTGCCAACCCCTCACATTAACCGTCTGACTAGGAGCATCATGATATAATTGAGAGATCCGCCCCGTCAGATAATGATTGTCATGCAATCCTAGTTTCACCAACAACTCCGCTTCGCCTATAACAGTATGTTGATCCGTGGGTAAAGCAGTTTGATTCAAGACTGGGACACCCTGATAGGTCTCAGTTTGAGATTGAGCGAATGGGGGCGGGGCTTTGATCGCGGGAGGTTTTTGTCGCGACGATGTGCTGTTCTAAGACGCTGTGCTCCATCACTAGCTGCACAGTAGTAAACCGCCGAGTCTGACCCTCGGACTCTGTCCAATCTTAGTTCGGATTTCTTATCGTTCGCACTTCGGGTGATGGTAAACCCAGAGTTAAACTCCTCTTCATAGTTCGCTTGGCTTCCTCTAACCAGGTACCCGATGAGGGCGAGGCCCTCTCCGGGACGCTGCCGGTACCAGAGCATGGTAGTACGCGTGGTTTCATTCTGGTAACAATTCAGTTCGACGGTTCCATCTTCCTTCACAACGAGAGTAAACGGCCACTGATGCACCACATCGCCGGCGGAAACACCTGTAAACATTTTTGGGGGCGTTAATAAGTAAAGGTGAGACCTGGTAAGCGCTGAAGCTGCGTTTGAAAATAAGTGTTATATAAAATAATGAATGATTGAATTAACCCCATTCTGCTCTATAGCCCTACAGATCTACAAATGTTCTGCTGATTTTAAGTGCCAGCTTATGTTTTGACATTCGTTCTTCGATTTGCTCCCACGACCCTTTCAAGCAGCGCACTTCAGATCACAACAACACGGTGCTTTAAATAAAATTCGCCTCCAGTTCATTGGCAAAATATCTCAGTGACATACCGTTACGTTGATCCCCTATATTTCATTTTTAAAGTGCAAATTTAATGATATTCATGGACCGAGCGCACAATTAAACCTCTGAGGCTTTCAATAAATCTTTTTGCTTACATGGCAGCAGAAAGACAAGAGAGAGGGCGAGAGAATCTAAAAGCATGGTGGACTGACTGATCATTTAGTCAACTATGCGCAGCTATTCCTGAGACCGGAGGTGACGTTGGAGTGACGTTTAAACGGCAAGAACGAGGAAACTCCAACCAAGAGTTCAATCCCCTAAGTCGCCGAGTTCTGACTTCATATTTATGTCTCTGTAAAGAAACAGTCCAGATGGTGTCCTTGCCAGTTCCCTTCTTCCTAATGTGGCAGCGCTATCTTCCCTCATAAAATAGCCCGCTCCTTCCAGGTATTAGGCTGGTAAACCTTCAGTGATCTGCTTGCAACGCAATAACATCCTTTCGTAAGCAAGGTATTGTACGCAGTACTCCAGTCTTACCAATATCCTGTATAAATGAAGTATAACCTCCCCACTCTTGCATTGAATTCTCCTCACAATAAACCATAACATTTTGTAGGCAAATAGGAGAGTTAACGTTTCCAGGCTGGTGACTCTGGTGAGCTCTGATGAAGAGTCACGGGATTCGGAATATTAACTCTGCTTTCTCCCCACAGATGCTGCCAGACTTACTGAGTTTTGCCAGCAATTTGTGTTTTTGTTTCGGATCTTCAGCATCCGCAGTTCTTCGCTTAATGACAAGTTATGATATGCCTTTGCAGCAAATGGGATTTGAATTGGCACTTTATTGCCCAGGGTAAACAATCGTCTGTATACAGTTAGGGCTAAGACTTTCGGAAGTGGAATCTGCAAACATTTCTTGACACAGACGATTTAAGAAATCTGGATGTCCCAACAACAAACCAACGATGCTGATAACTTGGACATTTCAAGCCGGAGATCGAAAAAAAATGCATTCGTTTGTCTGCTGAGGGATGTGGTGTGGTGGCGGGTAGATACAGATCAACTATAATCGAATTGAATTGTGCGGCAAGTTGAGAAGCTGTACGATTTCGTCCTTTCCTGTGTTTGTATTGAAACATTTTCGAATCATTCATGGTTTCTTGGTCCTACAGCGCCTTCTGCACCTTACATGGAGAAGAGTCTAAGAGTCAATTTCCTGTACCCTTTGAAAATCGGCTTCAGCTGCTCACTGAATTAATTCCACATTCAGCACCCAAGTGTTGATGTTCCATCCTATTCGCAAGGATTTCTATTCATTCATCCGTCTTCTACCTTTCTATTACCTAGACGTCGGTTACTCGCCTCAGTCTACTGCCTGTCACACTGAGTTCCACATTCATGTCGATCCTCGAATTAAAAACGTTCGCCAGAATTTCCAGTTACACTCTTACCCATTCAAACCTAACGAGAGTTGTTATTTCACTCGCGTCCTCCCGTATAATCACTCATTAACTTTCTAACGCCGCTCTTTTAAAACCATATTAACTCTGCAAGAAGGGAAACATCGGAGGCGCCCTTTAATTTTATCTGGAACAGCTGCTTTCTGCCGCATTTTTGTTGAAATGTTCCATCTCTGAGTTATGTGCACGTTTATTGCCAATAAACTGGATACTTACTTATCACGAAGAACTATTCCAAATTTTGTGAGGCAATTTATATTTCCGACTAATATTATTTCAGCAGATTAGAGAATATTAATTTCTACCAATTATCATAAAGTCTTTAAAATCAACTGTAATATAAAGTTACTACAATTCTGTGACAGCTGACAAATTGGGAACAACCCCTCTCTCACTTCAGCGTGAGAGATCAACCACAGTCCTTCAGACTTGCTGTTGTTATTTATGACCTCTAATAATTAAACTAAAACCCAAGGCCTGATCTGTTATGACCGGAGTAGGCGTTCCCCTCTAATAATTACCCCCAAAACACCCTGAGAAGCTTGTTTTACCCCTCGTAATCTATTAAAAGAGTGGTTAAAAGAAAGAAAATCCCTGATCTCCACTTTACAAGTAACATGAAACAATTTACTTACTTCACCCAACAATGAACAGATTAACATAATTCCTAACGAACCAACAATCCCCCTTAGACTACTAACTACTTCCTAACTGGTATAAATTCTACTGGAATGCTGTTTAAATAAAACCAAGTACCACTAATATAAACCAAATTAACATGAAGCAATAAATTATAACTTAATCTCTCCAAGTTCGCACAGACTGTTTTCTGGAATCTTCTGTTAGAACATAGAACATAGAACATTACAGCGCAGTACAGGCCCTTCGGCCCTCGATGTTGCGCCGACCTGTGAAACCAATCTGAAGCCCATCTAACCTAAACTATTCCATTATCATCCATATGTTTATCCAATGACCATTTAAATGCCCTTAAAGTTGGCGAGTCTACTACTTTTGCAGGCAGGGCATTCCACGCCCTTACTACTCTCTGAGTAAAGAACCTACCTCTGACATCTGTCCTATATCTATCACCCCTCAATTTAAAGCTATGTCCCCTCGTGCTAGCCATCACCATCCGAGGGAAAAGGCTCCCACTGTCCACCCTATCTAATCCTCTGATCATCTTGTATGTCTCTATTAAGTCACCTCTTAACCTTCTTCTCTCTAACGAAAACAG